CACTACTGAATTGTCTTCATTAACCTACATAAGTGCAGGTGTACAGTTAAAAATCTGATATTAAAAAAAAAGTCTCAGTAAACATACCTTTGTTTTATCCATAAACGTATGTGCGAAGCCGTTGTTCGGCTCTAAACAAGAATATTTTCCGTTCTGCTCCTCGTCCCATTTTCTTTATTCCTCTTTTTTCAGCACCTTATTTCAATCCCCATATATTAGTCTGGATATTTGCCGTGGACTTGGTTACCCTACCCAGGAACATGTGAAATCATTAGCTGATGAATATCAACCAGACCTTTATACATATACCGCATCATTTCTTGTTATATGCAGACCTGTATCTACCATGAATCGTTTCGCAGTCAATAAGATGATAGTCGTAACGCAACCTTTGTAACTGGCGCCAATTATTTGCACTGTACATTCCATCTATAGAAATCCAATGAATATCATGAAATGTTTCAGTAACTGTATACTTACTTACTTACGCCTGTTACCCCCGATGGAGCATAGGCCGCACACCAGTTTTCTCCAACCAACTCTGTCCTGGGCTTCCCTCTCCAGTTCTGTCCAATGTTTGTTCATTCCTCTCTAATCTTTATCTATTTCCCGTCGTAATGTGTTCCTTGGCCTTCCTCTTTTCTTTTTGCCTTGAGGGTTCCATGTAAGGGCTCGTCTCGTGACGCAGTTAGGTGCTTTTCATAGTGTGTGTCCTATCCACTTCCACTGCTTCTTCCTCATTTCCTCCTCCATTGGAATCTGGTTTGTTTTCTCCCACAGTACGTTGTTGCTGATGGTGTCTGGCAACGATTACGAAGTATTTTGCGTAGACATCTGTTAATAAACACTTGTATCTTCTGGATGATGGCTTTCGTAGTTCTCTATGTTTCCGCTCCATACAGTAGAACTGTCTTCACATCTGTATTGAAAATCCTTATTTTGGTTTTCTCGGCTTCTCGGCTCTCTGAGCTAAGATCATGTGTAGTATCTGTTTAACTGTTTTTTTATTAAATGCCAACCTCTGAGTCATACAGTAAATGCCTGAGTAAACCTGCTGCGGCTTTTCATGACAGAATAACGACCTCGGCATAACATTGTGTTACGTCCAAGTTTTGCTCCTTCCCGTTATTGAAGTACAGTATGTCGATCTATTTGCAATTCACGAACCCAAATTAACAACAAAACCAAACTCCAAATTTAGGTACTAAAGTTTATTTGCAATTCACAAATAGTCGACCAAAATGACGTTCGTCAATTTACAAATAGTCTACCAATGTCGTTCTCACAACAATAATTATAATAACTACAAAGACCTTCAATTTTATAGGTTCCTCGAGCGAAAACTCCAAATGACCAAACCAAGACAAACAGAAATCAAAATGGCCGAAAATAATAAATCAAATGAGTTCATAAGTTAAGTAAAACAAATATACCCAAAAAACACAGTCAAATTAATGATATTTATATAAAGGTTTAAATCAGCCAAATGTCTTCATTCCTCCCGTAACAACTTTGGAAATATGAGACGCAGAAGTAGCAAGCGTATAAGAGCATCCTCAGTGTTATTGATTAGTTGCCGCATCAACCAAAAGAGCCGAATGCAAATAAAATCTCTGGCAATTCTCTAAAACTCATCAAAATGAGTTTATATCACAGAAAAACAAATCAAATAAAAATATATGTGCTGCTTATTTTATTATAAGGGGGTGCACATTCATATGTCCTAATATATATAGCATCGAAAATATTATTCAAATTTTTCGCATGTAGTTTACAAAAGAAATTCATTTATTGTCATCTGAAACGTGTGCAACAGCATTATTAAAAGCCGTTGGGAAACAGTAACTGACAAAATCAGAGCGAGATATGACTACGAACACGCGTATTTAGTGAAATGTAATCAGTATGATATGCTTAAAATGAGTTGGAATATTGCAATTTAATCTGAATGAAATCTTTTAGTCGATGTAGTATTTGTATGCACTGAATGGAATAATGGAAAAATTATTCCTACCATCTCCACTGACTCTTTCAGACTAATTTTAATCGTATTTCTCCGGGAGTATTCTGATGGATTGAAGTCACTCAAAACTGTATTTGATGGTATTTAGCTGATAGTTCTCTCATCATAAACTTCTATGCGCTGCTTCATACAAACATATATTTACTAGCAGACACGTAACTTTTGTAAAAGTTATTGGATCCACGCAAAATTACTTACAAAGAAGATCGAAGGTAATGTCTCAATATCTGGTGTCTTTCAGGTTCGATTCCTGCACATTATATACTCATTCAATGTTAATATTATTATTTTTCTCCTTTGTCGTATATTTTTCGATTCAAATTATATCAATTACCGCTCTTTAATCTACTAAGCAACGGGTTCGGTAACAGCATTGCTAACAGTACTTCTACTATAATGCAGTTATTTACAGGCAATCAATATATTGTACCCGGAATGAAATTCATACAGGTATTACGAAATTGGAGACGAATTCACCAACTGCTACTAATAGTAATCAGCCAAGTCTTTCATATGGCACCCATAATATTCGGAGATTTATTAAAATTTAAATATTTCACAGCACTTTTAATTTTTATCTTTAGTACACAGTGTATTGATTCCACTTCTACGAACGGTACACGAATAGTTATTATCTGAACAATTATACAAAAAAAGAGCTCATTAATAACTTCTTGAGCCACAGAGTTAAAAAAAACAGAATAAATAAAATAACGCAAAAGCACAAGATCACTGTGCCTCATTAATATATTCCGTAAATCAACACTGTTGCTAACAAATTGGTCATTCAGTTTCTTCTATTTATACGATTAATTGTCCATTCGTTATCTTACTACTGAATTGTACTCACTAACCTACATTAATGCAAGCATACAGTTAGTGTTTTAATATAAAAAGTCTTGGTAAACATACCTTTGTTTTATCCAAAAAAGTAAGTGCGAGGTCACTGTTCGTCTTTAAACAAGAATATTTTCTATTCTGCTCCTCGCCCCGTTCTCTTTATTTTACTTTTTTCAGCAACTTATCCCAATCCTTATATATAAGTCTGGATACATGCCCAAATCCTGTCTGATTTACTCAGGATCCTCTAAATTTATAATCAGATCTTAGCTCATGTACCTCATCAATTCTTGTTATATGCAGATCTGATTCTACCTTGCATTTTTTCGCAGTCAAGAAGAAGTTCATCGTAACGCAACCTCTGCAACTCGCGCCAATTGTTCGCATCGTACATTATAGAGTCTGCTAATTATCTATAATTGTATGTGAAAAATTTTAGCCATCTAAATGAAGC